TGTCTCACTCTGACTTTTGCCAGGCCTCCAGTAAGTTTGAGTAAAGGACCTGACTCAGCCATCCCAGGTCAGCTCTGTCGCAGATTGGTCTCGAGTTCTCCTCTGTTGCTGTTTTCATGTACGTCCTGGTCTGATTACAGGCTCAGAAATTTCTGACTCTGAAGGAGGTGTGCTGCATTCACTGCTTCTTATTGCTGGTAATGAGATTCTAATATTCTGCCACAAAACCTGTTCATTTTAAATCTTACAGGGTGGCAGAACTGTCCAGTCCCTTCATAGATAGTCTCCACACTCTATATGTTCTCTTTCAGCCATATGACAAAAGTCAAAGACAGTGCCATAGGAAAACCATTTTTGAACAGTAAACCTACTCTGTACTACAGCTATTATAGGCAAGAGGATAATGAGTTGAAATGAAGTGGATGGAGAAGTGGTTGACAAAAGTTTAACAGGAGGTTGGGGGGGTATGGTAGTGTTAGAGAGTAGAGAAGATGCCTATGTGACTGGGCACAGGTAATGGTGTCTTTGTTGAGAATAGGACATCCAAAAGAAGAACTTTATTTTAAAAAACAAAACAACAAAACAAACAGCAGTTCTCTGAACAGCTTTACAGCAGTTATGATTTTAAAGCATGTGTTGTTTCACCACCCTCATATGTACATTATGTATATGGGAGAGGGTGATTCAGAGGAAGAATGGGCACATCCTACTGAGAGTTTGGGGAAAAACGCTTGAAGATGATTGAATTGTACCTTAAAGAATATGAATTGTACAAGAGAAGGTGTTAGGTAAGATGGAGAGGTTCTGAATGTAGAGGTAATGTGGCGAAGGAAGGACGCTTATCCTTTTACAGACTTTGTTCCTAAGTGTGTAGATTGCTGCGTTAAAAAAATACCCTAATACACATGTTTTGAAAACTGTCTTTGTGAAATAAACTGACAGGTTTAGATTTGTTCGTGTATAGATGCCTACAGAATTTATAGGTGGAATTAGATGTTTGAGTGAATTAAAATTGTTAAAAATCAAAGTTTACATAGCAAGTTAAATTCACATTTAGCAATTTTTATACAGATTATTTTGTGGCATTGGCTACAGTGTTCAGTGTGTCATCATTCTTACTTTTATTCTGTTTGTTTTGTTTCCATTGTTCTAACTTCTTTGCCTGTTCATCTTTGCTTTTGGGTAAATGTTCCATTTGATCATACGTTTGATTGCTTTAAGGGAATACATTACTTGTGGTGATAATTATTTATTTTATAAGCCAGTCTGTTGTTTGGCTGAAAGGTGCCTCTGGAAGTGACTTTAAGTTTAAAGGTTAGAGCTGTAGTTATCCAGGTTCTTCTAGTCACTGTTAATCCAGGAAACCTGGTCTTTTAAGAATTTGATTTTACTACTTTTTCTCCTGTTCTATCTGGGACTTTTTATTGTGTCCCTTATCAGAATGTTTGTTAGTTGTAGCAGGGCAGTGTTTGTCCTTTTGTGCCTCAATGTAATGTCCTCTGTGTACATTTGACAGAAGTGCCAGAAATACAAGCTGGGTTTAGAAGAGGCCCTGACACTAGGGATATCATTGCTAATGTCAGATGGATCGTAGCTGAAAGAAGAGAGTACCAGAAGGATGTGTATTTGTGTTCTATTCAAAGGCATTTGAGTGTGCGGATCATAACAAATTGTGGCTAACATTGAGAAGAATGGGGATCCCAGAACATTTAATTGTGCTTATGCAAAACCTAAACATAGACCAGGAAGCTGTTGTCCAAATTGAACGAGGGAATACTGACTTCATGGTTCACAATCAAGGAAGGAGTACATCAGGGATTTATTATTTCTCCCTGCCTTTTCAATCTATATGCAGAACAGATCATTTGGGAGGCTGGGCATTATGAAGAAGAATATAGCATGAGGATTGGAGGAAGAGCTGTCAGCAGCCTGCATTATGCTCATGACACAGCCTTCCTTACGGAAACTGAAGACTTGAAGTGCTTGCTGCAGAAGGTCGGGCATTGCAACCTTCATTATGGATTGCATCTCAACATCAAGGGGAAAAAATCCTCCCCACTAGGCAGTATCATGATAGATGGATTGTGGTTGTTAACAATTTTGTCTTACTTGGATCCATAGTCAACATTCTTGGCATCCAACAGGAAATCAAAGACTTTGGGAAAAATCAGCCATCAAGGACTTCTCCAGAGTGCTACAGAACAACAGTGTCATTCTAGAGACTAAGGTGTTTCTGATTCAGGCCATGGTCTTTTCCACTTGCTTGCTGTGCATCTGAGAGCTGGACAGTGACTAAGGAGGACAGAAGAAGAATGAATGCCTTTGATTTGTGATGCTGAGAAGACTATTGAACATGCCATGGGCAGCCAAGATAATAAACAGGTCTGTCTTGGAAAGGATGAAGCCAGATTGCTCCTTAGAGGCTAGGATTTTTGAAGCTCTGTTTTGGAGTATGTTTTCTGAAGAGGCCAGTCCTTGGAGATGACATCATGATTGGAAGGGGAGGGTCAGCCAAGGAGAGGAAGACCCTGAATGACATGGGTTGACACTGTCTATTTCAGTAGGGTTCAGATCTGCTGTTTGTAAGGTTGCTATGGATTGTACTTGACACAATGGTATCTAACAACAAACACATTTTCTTTATAATTTCTTGCACTTTTAAAAAATACAGAATTTATTTTAATTGTTGAGAACATACACAGCAGAACACTATAGAACAGATTTCTATGTATACGATTTATGACATTGATTATATTCTTTCAGATGTGCAGTTCTATTTTCATTCTCTTTTTTTTGAGCTATTTTTTCTCCTTTAACATAAACTGGCTGTTCCCAAAGTTTCCTAAACTTTAAAGTTACTGTTGTCAGTTTGAACCCATGTACTTATTTTAGCGGAGTTGACTTGTCGTGACCCTTTAGTTTGGAGTAGAACTCTCTACAGAGATCCCAAGACTAATCTTTTCGGAAGCAGAGTGCCACATCTTTCTCTCATGAAGCTGCGGGTGGATTCCAACCACCAACTTTTTGGCTCTCAGCTCTATGCGTAACAGCTGCGCCGCCAAGGGCTTCTCTTGATCCCTTGTAGATTTTAAAGAGCACAGTGCTCATAATTCTTTTTTGCTAGTTAAGCTGAACTACATTTTTAAGGTTTTATGGAGACTTTTTAAGGGGAATGTTTTCCCCATTTGTCCCCTCTCCACTCTTAACATTATGGCTGTCCAGGATTAAAGCCATGGAATTTTCTACCTTCACATCTCTAAATCATTACACCATGTTCGTTCGTTCTTGACAATGAAGCCTTTTGCATTGCTTCATCCTGTGCGTGCACTGTTGCATAGTTACCAACTGGCCTTCTACTTTTTCCAGGTTAATGTTCCTAAAGATAGCAATTTCTGTTCATTTCCACATTGCTCTTTTGATAGACAATGCATTAAAAATTAGGCCTACTCTAATCTAATCCTCACCCTTTCCTAAATTATGAACATTATAAACTATGCTTTCTGTGAAACATTTTCCCGTTTCCTTTAACTGGCCTTATTTTTTTTATGTAAGTCTAACTTGGCTTGCAGAGTGTAGCTCAGTTCAAATTTTGCTTTTTTACAGAGCCTTATTCTCTCAGAATAGTCAGTATTTATCTTTGAACTACTTATAGCCTACCACTTGTCATTTGCATGCAGCATATTTTGTGCTCTATTTTATGTGTTTACTTTTCTCTCTCCCAGATACTTTATTTTCACTACTTTGAAGCCAGGGTGGACTGAGAGAGAACACTTAGAGGAAAAAAAGATAGAGGTCACTCAAAAGCCTCTTTGTAAATAGCTAAACATTTGCTACTTGATTTTAGTTAAGAGTTCCTCAGTGGTTTTATATTAAATGTTTATTGCACTAGTCCTTTAACCTTTTTTTTATTATATATTTGTTGTTGTTGATTGCTATCAAGTTGAGCACGACTCATAGCAACCCTATGAACAAAAAGACCTGAAGCTTTTCTATAACTATCGTCATTTATTAAAGTTCATAGAGTTTCCAGAGGCATGTTGTTTAGGAAGTGGATGCAACTCTTGCCTCCAAAATGATACTTTTATTAAAGTTCAAACTTTTCTGTGTAAATTTGCATAAGTTTTTGCTATTTCCGTGTCTTTCCATAAAGAATTTGGTAAGTGGAAGTATGTGCATACTGACAATGCACATTTTCCACTGAATTTAGTACATGTTGATTTTGTTACTTTACTTTTCTTATTCTCTACTTTTTACATAATTCGTGTCAGTTACTCAGCATAAAATAGTAGTATTTAATATACATAATAAATCTTTACGGAAAACAAACTAGACTGGGAATCAGGAAGATCTGATTTCTGTACCACTATGTTCATTTGCTAAGATTTGTTTGGGAGAAGGATGCCATTTGATTGAGAGAAGGATAGGTGATCTCCTCCCATGTGATTTACTGTCTCTGAAAACCCACTGACTTGAAGGGATATAACAGTAACAGTAATTTGCTATGGTGGTCTAGTGGGTAGGGGTTTGCACTGCCAACCCAAAAGTGCTTTGTTTGAATCTACTAGTTGTTTCTTGAGAACAAGATGGCGGTCTCCTTCTGAGTAATTAACAGCTTCTCTAACCTCCTGGAAGGTTGGTTATGATTTAGTTCTGACTGACAATAAACTGTAATTTGTAGTTATTGGACAAGTCACATAAGATTCTCTGTTTCTTAATATACAACTGAAAGTGAATAAGTCTTAAAATTCTTTTCTAGGCCTGAATTTCTGTTTGAAGCATTTACACCTGCCCTTTTTTGACCTTAGTCTGAAGCTAGATTCTTACGTTAACAAAATTCTGTTGTCATGTGTTTTTCTTTTAGATTCTAATTTAAGGTTAATCATTGCTGCCTTATTTATAACTTTATAAGGATCTAGTGTTGTTTTCACACAAGCATGATTTAATTATTAAAGAGGGTAGATTAACCAAGTTGTGATTGACTAACTTTCTTTTCTATTTAGGCATTTTCAAAAGGAATAATTCCAGATTAATGGATGAAATTTTAAAACAACAACAAGAACTTCTGGGCTTAGATTGTTCCAAATATTCACCAGGGTTTTCAAATAGCAATGACAAAGATGATCAAGGTAAGATAACTGTGAACACAGCTGTGTGTTGTATTTCAAAACATATTTTAGCATTCATTAATTTTGCTCTTATAGTCCTATTGCCACTGTATGTAATCATCAGACTTACTAGCCTTTTTTCTCTTAATCTTATTAAAAGACAATTTGAAAAAAGAAAAAGAAAATAATCTCTTACCTAGCTCATAACAGGCCAAGAGCTAGGCTGTCAAATAGCTCTGAGAGTCAGAATTGAGTTGGATTGTACTGTGGACAGTGTGTGTGCGTCTGTTGAAGCATACATTGTTACTACAGTTTTTCCCTTCCTGTGTGTTATTATTGTGCTTGGGGATGGTATTTTAAATGAGTGGAAATTATTATTTAGCCTGTAGTTAAAATTCTTATTTCTAGAAGATTTATTCACACACAAAATTTCCATATGAGCATTTTTAAAATAAGGCAGCATATACATACATATATCTTGTGATTTGGGGTGATTGGGTCCTTTCTGAGAAGAGTAGCTAAGCATGTTTTTTATACTGACAATGTTTTGTGAAGGACCTGTGTATTTTTGCTACCTTCTTGACCCGAGGCCCTGTGCACCTCCAGCCAACAACAGTTGTTTCCCCCTGAGTACCTGAATGGCAAACCAGGAAGCCTGTTGTTCCCTTCCAGACTCTACCTGGGTCAGGCTTTCCCCAAGGATCCTATGTTGTGTAGTAGACAGTATCGTTTTCCCCAGACTACCTATGATATTAGTGCTCCTGCTGCTGTACAGTGGGGGCGGCAGCTGGGCGGGGAAACCACAGCCTCATTCTAGAGGGCATTGGGTTCTGTTGCCATCCAGGATGTCTTATATGGAAATAAAATACTAGATTCTTGTTACTTTTGAGAACTATTTTTACTTTTTTTGTTTTCAATTTAATATTTCTAAAAACGGATTTTTAAATATATCAGGAATAGGTATTTTTTTAAGTAAATATAAATGTCGTTTGTTTGGGTTTTTTTTCTTCCAGTTTTAAATTGCCAATCAGCAGTGAAGGTGCTGTCTCCAGAAGATGGAAAAGCAGATATTGTCAGAGCTGCACAGGACTTTTGCCAGTTAGTAGCCCAGCAGCAAAAGCGATCTACAGATTTGGATGTAGCTATGTTAGACAGTTTACTTAGTAAGTCATATGTATGCATGCGCACACACACGCACTTACATCACACATAGACATGTGTATATGAATGTGATTTTTAGTTCTGATTTATCTATGGCTTAACATTTTCCCTGATGTTTATATGAAACATACCACTTTATTTGTTTTTATATGAAATACTGCATTCCTCTCCCCTCTTAATCTCTTTATAAAAGCCTTCAGTTTGCTTTTTCTCCCTAGATTCCCTGCGAAACTTTTTTGCCTTAATTTCATGGTCTTTCTGTTCACTAGCAAGGTACTTAACTTCTTTTGAAGAAGAGTAATACATCTAACAAATTTGTTTCAGCCATAGCTTCTGTGGCTATATGATTTCACACATTTATTTACTCTTCATTCATTTATATAATCTCACTATTTATTTTACGAATCATATATTTTTCTAACTGGTTCATTTAGTTAATTCTCCATTGTTCTGTTTTTCCACTTTGCCACATCTTCATCACAGGGCACAATCCCTCTTTGACCGCTTGGTCTCTAACTCTTTACCTCCACTGCCTACCTACTTCTTACTGTCCCCTTCAGCAGGACTTTGTCATTGCTGGGCTATATTCAAGCTGAATGAGTGGTCTTGAGTAAATCATTATATCATCTCTTATCAGAGGGTTACTGGCATGTGGATTATTTTCTCAGTCCTATGAAGGGCCAGCTGGAGACTAATTTGTAAAGAAGTCCTAAAAACACAGGGACCCAAAAAGTGACCTGCCAACCCAAAGGTAGGTGATTTGAATCCACTAGCTACTCTGATGGAGAAAGATGGGCAGTCACTTCTCATGTGATTTATAGCCTCTGAAAACCTCATGATATGTGGGCTGCTAATGGAAAAGTTGGTGGTTCAAATCCAGCCATTCTTTGGGCAAAAGATGGACAGTCTCTTTTCATAAAGATTTATGGTTTCAGAAATCTGATTGTGGGAGTGACAGTAGGCTGATCATCTTAAATTGAAATCAGCTCGGTGGCAGGGGTTACTGGGTCTGTATAGCATTTTAATAATGAGTAGAGATGTTTTTTTTATGTACCAATTGTCTTCTGTAGTGTCCTTAGCACGTTTTGCCTATTTTTATTTATCTGCTTTTTAAAGGTTCCCCATGAGTCGTTTCTGACTCACTAGCCATTAATGACTATGGAGAAGTACTGCAGTTGAATATAAGAAGAGCCTTCAGCAGTATAGATTCATGATAAATGAAGAACTACATACCCTTAAGTTAACTCTTGTATGATAGTGGGTTGGTTGGATTTTAGTGAGTGAATATTTACATTTCAGAGAAACTGACAGACTGTTTACTGAAGTGTCTGCGGTCTGTCAATTTATATTGCTACTGCCAATAATATGAGGGTTTCATTTTAGTTTCTTGACATCCTTGTCAGTACATGATATTGTCACCTTTTCCCCTTCTAACGTTAACATTCCAGTAGGAATGTGTACCTTTGCTGTAGTTGTTGTAGTGTTGATTGCCGTCGGGTTGAGGACGACTCATAGCAACTCTATGAACAAAAGGCCTGAAGCCTTTCTATAACCGTCATCATTTATAAAAGTCCATAGAGTTTCCAGAGGCATGTTGTTTAGGGAGTGGATGCCACTCCTGCTTAGTACATTATCTGTGGGCTGCTAAGGAAGAAGTTGGTGGCTCAAATCCAGCTGTTCTGTGGGCAGAAGATGGATAGTCTCTTTTCATAAAGATTTATAGCTTCAGAAACCTGATTGTGAGAGTGAGAGTAGGCTGGTCATTATGTTGTTGTTTTGTGCCATCAAGTCGCCTGCGACTCATAGCGACCCTATGTACAAGAGCCCTACATGCCGTTCTATCCTGTGCCAACCTCGCTGTCTCAAACACACTCATTCTCACCACTCCGTCACAGAATCGATCCATCTCATCGAGGGTCTTCCTCTCCTGTGCCGTTCCTTCACTCTCCCAAACATGATGTCCCTCTCCAAGGACTGGTCCCTCCTTGCAACGTGCCCGAAGTATGTCAAACAAAGCTTCAGAATCTTTGCCTCCAAGGAACATTCTGGCTTCACCCTCTCCAGGACAAACCTGTTCTCCTAGCAGTCCATAGTATATTCAACAATCTTCCTCCACACCACAGCTCAAAGGCATCAATTTTCTTTCTATCATCCCTATTCATTGTCCAACTCTGATGCATAGCACGTAATTGCAAAGACTATAGCCTGGATCAGGCACACCTTAGTCTCCAGCCTGATGTCATTGCTCTTCAATACTCTTGAGAGGTCCCTCACAGCTGACTTTCCCCTGATTTCCTGGCTGCTGTTACCAAGAGTGTTGACTGTGGAACCAAGCAAACTAAAACTGTTAACTATCTCAATCTCTTCACCATCCATACTGATGCTGCCAATTGGCCCAGTGGTGAGAATCTTTGTTTTCTTGATATTGAGCTTCAATCCATATTGAAGACTGCACTCCTTGACCTTCTGCAGCAAGCACTTCAGGTCCTCCTCAGTTTCAGCGAGCAGGGTTGTGTCATCCACATAACATAGGTTGTTGATGATTCTTCTTCCACCAATCCTGATGCCACATTCCTCCTCATACAGTCAAGCATCTCAGATAATCTGTTCTGCATACAGATTGAAAAGGTATGGAGACAAAATACATCCCTGACAGAACCCATTCTTAATTTTGAACCGTCCAGTGTCTCTCTGCTCTGTTCTGACGACTGCCTCTTGTTCCAAGTATAGGTTTCACATTAGCCCAATCAAATGTTCTGGGATTCCCATTCTTCTCAGAGTTAGCTATAACTTGTTGTGATCCACACAGTCAAAAGCCTTTGCATAGTAAATGAAGCACAGTTAGATATTCTTCTGGTATTCTCTGCTTTCTGCCAAAATCCATCTAACATTAGCTATAATATCCCTAATACCACTCTGGTCATTATAAATTGAAATAAACTTGGGGGCAGGGGTTACAGGATATGTACAGTGTTTTAATAATAAGTAGAGATGGTGTTTTTCATGTACTAATTGTTTTCTGTCATGTCCTTCAAATGTTTTGCCTATTTTTATTTATCTACTTTTAAAAAAATAATGATTTGAGTGAAAATACATAAATTTTCAAAATTGAAGTTTTCCACAGAAGCAATTAATATGCATTTTGTTTTGTAGCATCACTTAAAATACTCATACCTGTTGTCTAAACAGAACAAAGAAACACAGCGTGGTTTCAAATCAAGGAAGGAGTGCATCATGGGTGTATTCTTTCTCCATACTATTCATTTATCATCAAAATCAGAGAAAGGCTCATTGACAACCTGCATTATGCAGATAATACAACTTTGCTTGCCAAAAGCAAGGAGGACCTGACGAGCTATTGCAGAAGGTCAAAGACTATAGCCTTCAATATGAATTATATCTCCACATCAAGAAAACAAAAATACTCACTGCTGGACCAACAGACAAACATCATGATAGAAGATTGGAGTGTGGGTTCCTCTTGCTTGAATCAACACTGTTGGCAACAGTAGTCAAGAAGTCAAAACATGTTATCTTGAGCATGTCTTCCATTGGGAACCTTTTCAAAGTACTGAGGAGCAGTGATGTGAGTTTAAAGAATAAAGTGTGATTGATTCAGGCCATGGTCTTTTAAATCACTTGATTCTCATCTGAGAGCTGTGCAGTAAAGAAGGATGACAGAAGAAGAATTGATGTCTTTAAGCTGTGGTGTTGGAAAAAAGTACTAAATATTCCATGGACTCTCAAAAGAACAAGTATGTCTTGGAGAAAGTGCGACCAGAGTGCTCTTTGGAGGCAAGGATGGTGAATCCTCATCTCATATATTTTGGGCATGTTAAGAGGGGCTAGTCCTTAAAAAATTATCTCATGCTTGGAAGGGTAGAGGGTCAGTGAAGGAGAGGATGACTCTCAACAAAATGGATTGGTACAGTGACTTCATCAGTGGGCTCAAGTACGCCAGAGAGGATGATGAGGATGGCACAGGATAGGACAGAGATCAGATCTGTTATTTATAGGATTGCTGTGAGTCTCGTGGACTGGATGGCCCCTAACAACAACAGCAACATAATACTCACAAATATAACAAAACTCTTGCCACATCCTTCCTGTGATTGTTTCCATCAGTTCTACTTTCTTCCCTTGATTCTTGTTTCCATCAGTCCCATCTTAACCCCTCCTGCCTACTGGGCTTTTAGCTTTGGGCAGATGCTGCTCTCTTAATCATAAATGGTTGGTTGTTTTAAGGAGTGAGTACTTCTGTGGTGTTGGCACCTTCTGGGCTGTCTACTGTCTAGCTGAAAGTTGAGCTACATGGTGAGTTTTGTTCGAGGGTCACAAGGTGACCATGAGCCAAACCCCTTTAAAGGGACTCTGCTAAGTCTCTCTCAGACCAGTAAAAGCTGGCCTGTTTAATGATTTTTAATTTGGTCCATATGTGATCTCTGTTAAAAAACAATCAGCCATGGTAGCAAGGCACCAACCTGTTAGTTCTGGTCTCAGGATTAGAGAAATGAAAGTTTGTGTGATCCCTTAGTCCTTTAGATTATTTCTGTGCCTCTTTGGCTTTTCTTCACTGCCCCCTGCCCCCAAGATAGAGACCATTAGTTGCACTGTTCACAAGTTTTTGAGAACCCAGTTGCTGCTCAACAGAGTAAGATGTCCAACGTTGACTATGAGCCATGTTATGCTGTTTGACTGAGAGTGCCCCAAGACTGTGGTCTCAAGGCTCTAGGACACTCAATTCATTCTGGTGGGGTATTTGGTTATGATTAAAAAGTTTATGTGTCTTTACCCCTGGTATAGTTTGCTTATTTTTAAATGTGCTTTTGGATTTTGAATTTTTGAGTTTTGCTGTTGAGTTTTAAGGGGACCTCTGGTGGCCTCCTGGGAAGAGTTGCACTGCCAACATGAAGGCATGTGGTTCGAATCCACCAGCCACTGCTGGGAGAAAGATGGGCAATCTTCTCTTGTGCAGTTTACCCTGGAGGGTCAGCTATGAGTC